ACTGTGTCACACTGACAGCAACAAAGAGTGAGATAAATAAGTCATGATGCTCTTGTCATAGCAGCACCTCATTCTTAATACTTCTCTCCAGCCTCTGGAAATTCAGCCAAACAAGTATAACTTTGAATATGACTACATGGCAGTTTTTTTTGAAACACCCATTTAGGATGCATTTAAAAGTTGGAAATTGTGACCATCTCCTATTGGAAGTCATTCCTGCTTTGGAACAAGTCAGTGTTGATATATTGCTCTTTCATTAACTCTCCCAAAACTTCAAACTTGAAAACTTTTAAAAATAGGAGCACATGATTGTTAAATAAATGGCATTGTTTTTCCTATTCTATGTGGGTTTTCCAGAGCAAAGTCTTAGAGAAACTAAACAACATGTGTAGATCAGACATGGATAAGTGACAGGTAATAAATTTTATACCCAGCCAGTATCACCCCAAAACCACTGTGCAACTCTGCTCTCCTTGGGAATGAAACAGCCTCATTCTCTCACCCAAGAGAGTTGCATGAAACCTCATCTTCAAATACTGGGTGACAGGGAAGAGAAGAGAGAATAGGGCTGATGGATTATTCCTGAGGTCACTAGTCATTAATATATCTTCTTCATGCCCTTTCTGCTTGTTGGGATTGCCCCTAATCATTTATATCCTACTGGTATCCACCAGGAGTGAGACCTAAATTCCAATATTAGATAGACTTGATGACATTTAAAAATAATGCATACATGGGGATTATATTAGGAGAAGGGAGGGAAGATAAAAAGGAGATGGGTAAAAATTCATATTTGGCCTTAAAGATACAAGCTTTTGCCATATAATAAAGAGTTTGATTAGTGAGGACCTTAGAAATCATCTTGTTCAACACTGTCCACATAATGCCTCCCTTCAACAATGTTTCTGGCCAGTGCATGTGTCCTATTTTATTTTTCCAGTTTTTGTTGAAATGTTCATTTACGATGGGGAACACGCTACTTCTGAATGTACACAGATGGGAGGTTGATTTTCCTAGCCTTTCCTCATTTATTAATTGATTCAGAAACAATTTACTGAATATTTGTTATATGCTCTAGACCTGCTTCTTAATTAAGGAATGCAAAGTTCAACCTGTGATAGTCTTGCTTTTGGAATTTGTCTGTTTAGAAATAAAAATAAAACCCTAAGCTTCTCAACTGACTGCATGAACCTCCTCTTGGCCAAGGTGACCCCAGAGAAACCTTAAAAAGTGAGTTCCTGGCCATGACAGGTTAGGGGGTAGGACACACCTTGTTTTATCCCCTCCCTTGCTAACTGCCATTAGACTTTCTTCCCTAAGGATTAAACAGACACCAGCCCTTTCAAAAGACTTGCTGCACTGCTGATATCAACCAACTACCTGACCTTGTCCCAACCTTTTACGGTTTTGACCAACACATGCTCAGCATCCCTTCTTGATAAAAGACCATCCACCATGAGTGGTCTGGCCAGTCTATGGAGGATGCACAGTGAGAGTGTTCCTGTCCTCTGTTTCACCTTTTGATGTCATAAGGCCAAAAACTCCACCTTCAGATCATGTGAAGGCAGCCATTTTTTGTACATGTGACCCATTAAGGGGCATGGCGCTCAATTGTGCATGTGCATGCTTCTCCATTCCTAAATATTCATGACTCCTCCTATAGCTTGTTAAATATGTATGTTAGGCCACATTACTCAGCATAAATTCCTTTTCCTTTACCATTTCCTCCAAGTGCCTATTCTGGCTTCTGGTCAGAGGTTATGTTTCCCAGTCTGCAAGATGGCCAGTTTGCAGGCTGCGCCCTTTTATGAGTTAAAGCTCTCCTTTCCAAATTTATGAATCTTGTCATTCTTCAGTTGACACTGCACAGTCTCCATGCTATCCATGGACACTTAGAGCCCTGTTTGTAATTAAAACAAAAACAAAAACAACTCTCCTAAACATGGCTGATTGGAAAACATTTGGACTCTTCATCCAGATTGGCCAATCAGATCCCCCTCCTATGAAGAGGACATGAGTTCCAGAATTCCTTGTTATTCTCTGTGGGTTCCCTGAGTAGGTGCTCACGTAAAAGTTGGCCCAGGTAGTTATATACTAGGCAGGTGAAAGGAGAGCTGAGAAATCCAGGTTTCTAGCAAGAGAAAATAATAAGGTAGGCTTTCAGAGAGAAACAAGGATGAATGGCTACATGGCACCAGAGGTAGTAGTTACTTATCCTTTCATCCCCAGGGGGTTCCCTTCCAGTTATTGGCATCTGCCTCTCAGAAGCACTTCCTCCCCTTAAGTTCCAGAGATATTCTTGTGTTCATCTTCCCGCAAGCCTCCTTTGACTCTTTGGCTAGTTTAAGAGTCTTGCTATATTTATCTTCAACGCAGTGATTCCTTCCAGGATCTCTGTGATTCAGGTAACCCCTGGAATAGGCTCTCTTGACTTGTAGAATGTGCATCTATCCAACCTCTCTGGGAAGGAAGAGCAGAGGGCTCCATTTTCCCAGACAAGTTCTTTGTTTTCTATTGTTTAATTGTTTTTGCACCTATTACCTTTACTGTTGATCTGTAATCTGAGTGGTGGGTGTTGGGCATGGAGAAAGGTTTATATTCCAACCCAAATTAGTTACCACTTTGACTACCATTTCTTCCAAAGGCAGAGCACAGAGAGAGCAAGAAGAAGGGTTATAGAGCAATCTACTAATTGTCTCCAGGATCCTCTAAACTTTAGAGAGCCAAGACCATGTGGAAAATTAAGCTATTTCATATGTTTGGCTCAGACAAAGTGGAGACCCTCACTGGACACACCTATGAATGGTCTAGATGGATGTTCTTTAGATGTTCCAGGTGCCCAGTGGGTCACCTCCATTCTCATTTCTTTCCTAAAGCCTTTTATTCTTCTCTTAGTTCTATCCTTTTAAGTCTTTCTTCAATCCTAAATCCTAGCCTTTGTCTTTTGTGGATTTTAATTACCCTACCTTCAATACGTATCTGGCCACAATTCTTCTCTGAATTTTTATGGTAAAGCTATCATCCCAGCTCTCCACTGCCACATCTACTGCTGCCTGTCTTTGCTGCTGGAGAAACCCCCCAGCCTGGCATTCTCCTTACTCTTTCACTTGAGCTGCAGCCATGGGCTTGGCCCCAGAAGCTGTACTTTCTTTAGGGCTTGTACTCATTCCCTCTGCTTGGAATAAGTTTCCTACCTTTCCTCCTTTTGTGGCTTATAAGCTTTCATCTGAACTTGGTGGCTTCTGGAGTACTTGTGTTTTGTTTTACTATTTTGTCACTGCACCTGAGAATTTGCATTATATACTTATGCATCAAAAGAGTTTTTATGGTAATATGTTCAATGTACCATTTCATCTGCTTTTTTGATACACCCTTTTGTATGGCTGTGAAGTTTAAATAACTTAAACAACAAGGAATAAGGTATATTGACTCTGAAAAATACAAGAGTTGTGAAGTGATTGACTAATTAAAAATAATATAGCAGTAAGTGATTTTATGGTTTTAGTCATTTTTTAAACTGAAAATTATTTGGCATATAAGAAAATAAATACAAGCAAGATATTTGTCATAAACTAAGATGTTTAATGTGAGGATTGCACCCAGGTAGTTCTTTTATCTGCTCCAATTGCATTGGAGAAATTCAGCAGGTTCATGCTTATAAACTGGTTATAAAATGTTCTAAGACTTTGAGGCACATTTTCGAACATCAGGTTTGTTTTTTCTCCATATAACAACAGAAAATGAGCTCCATAAGGTTTCTGAACAGCTTGACAAAGCTCTTTGCCCTTCATAGCAGTGACAAGCAATGAGTAAGAACCAGTAGAAACATTGAGAAAAGAGATGTTGTAATCTCAGCTCCACTCAAAATTATCTAGTGGTGAAAACTGGAGTTTAAACTTTCAAAATATACAGGAGCTGCTAGAAAAATTAAGATGGGTCACAATGCTCAGCTAATCTTCCATTTTCTCTGCTATGGGTTTAGTGTGGCTTGTACATTTTCTAGTCTAATAGAATGTAATAGTATAACAGGGTCAGCAGTGATATGCACCTTCCCCAAATACATTTCTGTTTGTAATTTGTGAGGTCCAATTATAATACAAATACCATAATTTGGATTCTAAACATATTTGTATTGCTGACATAGTATGAAAATTTTCAGCTAATTAGAAAACTCTACCTTTTAAAAATGTAAAGTTAATAGATTTCACACATACAAGTACTTGGTTTGCTTTTATTTTATTTTTTTTTATTTTAATTTTTTTCAGGTTTTCTTAATAGCTCAGCCTATGACTACTTCAGGGAATATTTGTCAATTTAATATGAGCTGAGGACCATATGCACTTCCAGCCTTCAAACTGGTCTTATATTTTTATGGGAACTTCAGGGAGATGGAACAGAGAAGGAGCATTCATAAATAAAATTGTATAACTTCAGCATGTGGGTTATTATCTTCATTTGTTTCATTATTAATAAAATATTCTGAGAAGGAAAAACAAAGATGCCTTCCAATAGAGATTTAGTACCTAGAATAAAAATGTTCCAACATTTTTAACACTATTTACCACTGTTTCACAAACCCACCATTGCTTTTTATTTTTGGCACCTCTCTTTAAGGAAAATGGAGACCACACCTGCAGCCTCCCTTGCCATGAGTCCCCACTGTGGGGAATGGCTAACTGCTTCCCTGTGCCTCTTGCCGGAGCCAGAAGAAACTTCACTCATTCAGCCAAAAATAACTGAGAAACTCCTGGAATGTTTTCATTAAGCTCTTAAAATTATGCTGAAGGGGTGATCCATATATATCTCTGTTATGGGTTCAATTGTGTCCTCCCTGCAAATATCTGTGTTGAATTTCTGAGCTCTTTACTTTTTTATTTTTTATTTATTTATTTTTAGCTTATTATGGGGGTACAAGTGTTAAGGTTACATATATTGCCCATGTCCCCCTCCCCCCTCCAGTAAGAGCTTCAAGCGTGTCCATCCCCCAAACGTTGCACATCTTACTTGTTGTGGAATTCTGAGCTCCCGGTGCTGCAGAATGTGACCATGTGGTCGGTGGAATAGGGTGGATCTGCAGTGCCATATAATGGTGTCCTTATGAAAAAGGAAATCTGGAGATCTAAAGCCAAAAGAAGAAAGAAATATATGCTGACTTTGAGATAACACAGATGTTAAGAGTATCTAAAAAAGATGTTAAAAAGCCATGTTAAAAATGGTACACCAAACAATCGTAGTCAGTCCCTGTATCTGTGGGTTCCACATCTGTAGATTCAACAAACTACTGGTGAAAAAAATATATAAAAAAATAAATAGTACAATACAACAATAAAACTAAGACAAATAAAAAGACAATACAGTATAACAACTGTTTACATTGTATTAGGTATTACAAGTAATCTAGTCACGATTTTAAGACTATAGGAGGATGTTCATGTTACATGCAAATACTAGAGTACTATTGTAGTATATACGACAAATACTATTGTCTGTTGACTTGCTAATACGGAAAATGAGGATGTGACTGGTGAACACACACACATATACTCATTACCTCCTTACTTCTTTCCAGTATAGTTTTGGACTAGATTAATAATCTGTGTTACATTTCTATGACTAAATGTATACTATACACTTTTGAGTAATGGACTATATTTTGAGTAAATTTATACTGCATGTGCATATTTTTATTCCCACTCCTCCTACATTTTTAGTTTTTACTCCAATCTAAGCATCTTTATGATTTTCTTTCAGAAAATAATTCCAGAGTTAGACTATAATTCCAGATTCCTTGAGGATTGACCAGAGTCTGTCTTTGGCAGTGGGAAAAAGTAGAATGTGAAAAATATTTTTATTTATTAGTCTTGTTTCATTTTTTTATGTCAAGAATTTAGACCCTGTATCTTTTATTTTTATTTTATTTATGTTTTATTTATCTTATTTTTATTTTTACTTTAAAATATTAAGAGGGTACAAATTTTTTGGTTGTGGATGGTTTTTATAATGCTTGGGTCACGGCTATAAGTATGCCCATCATGCAAATAGTGTTCATTTTACCGGTTAGGTAAGTTTTCTCCCATCCCCTCCTCCTCCCTTTCCCCTTCCACTGAATTTCACTTCCCTCTCTGCACTTGTGTGCTTATCAGTTAGTTCCAATTTAATAGCGAGTACATGTGGTGTTTGTTTTTACCTCCTTTCAATACTTAACTTAGGATAATGGTCTCAAGTCCCATCCAAATTATTGCAAAAGGCATTAATTCATTCTTTCTATATGACTGAGTAGTACTCTACAGTGTATATACACCACATTTTGTTAATCGACTCACAAATTGATGAACACTTGGGTTGATTCCACATCTTTGCAATTGTGAATTGTGCTATAATAAGCACTTGAGTGCTGTAATAAGCACTTGAGTGTAGGTATCTTTTTCATAAAGTGACTTTTTTTCCTTTGGGGAGATAGCCAGTAATGGGATTGTTGTGATCAAATGGTAGGTCTACTTTTAGTTCTTTGGAGAATCTCCATACTGTTTTCAGTAGAGATCATACTAATTTATAGTTCCACCCACAATGTATAAGCATTCCTTTCTCTCTGCATCCATGCCAACATCTATTGTTTTTGGACTTTTTAATAAAAGTTATCCAAACAGGGGTAAAGTGATATGTCATTGTGGTTTTAATGTGCATTGCCCTGATGATTAGTGATGTTCAGTATTTAACTGTCAAGCTGAGAATCAAATCAAAGACTCAATACCTTTCACAATAGCTACAATAAATAAATAAATAAACAAACAACCTAGGAATATACTTACCAAGGAGGTGAAAGATATCTACAAAGAGAACTGTGAAACACTGAGGAAAAAAAATCACAGACAACACAAACAAATGGAAAAAAAATATCATGCTCAAAGATCAGTAGAATCAACATTGTTAAAATGTTCATACTACCCAAAGTTATTTACAGGTTCAATTCAATCCCTATCAAAATACCAACATCATATTTCACAGATCTAGAAAAAATAATTCTATGCTTTGTTTGGAACCAGAAAAGAGCACAAATAGCCAAAACAACTTTAAGCAAAAAGAACAAATCTGGAGGCATCATGTTACCAGATTTCAAACTATACCATAAGGCTATAGTAACCAAACAGAATAATGTTGGCACAAAAGTGGAGACATAGACCAATGGAACAGAACAGAGAACTCAGACATAAAACCACCCATATACAGCCAACTGATCTTTGACAAAGCAGATGACAATATACAATGGGAAAAAGAAGCCATATTCACTAAATGGTGCTGGGAAAATGGTGCTTGGATAGCCACATGCAGAAGAATGAAACAAGATCCATATCTCTCACCACTCACAAAAGTTAATTAAAGATGGATAAATGACTTAAATGCAAGGCATGAAACTGTAAGGAATTATAGAAGAAAATGTTGGAAAAACTTCTAGGTATCTGCTTAGGCAAAGAATTTCTGACTAAAACCCCAATGGCAATTATAGCAACAACAAAAATAAATAATGGGACTTGATTAAATTTTAAAGCATCTGAACAGCTAAGGGAATAATCAACATAGCAAGTAGACAACGGATGGCAGAAAATAGTCACAAGCTATAAAACTGATAAAGGGCTAATAATCAGAATCTAGAAAGAACTTGAGCAAATCAGCAAGAAATAAACAAACAAACAAACAAACAAAAACATTAAACAGTGGGCAAAAGTCTTGTTTTATTTTTAAAACCCAAACCTGGGTTCTTTTGATAAAAACAAAACGTTCAAAGATAACTAAAAACAATTCCTAGGAGTTTAGAAAAAAATGAAAACTTAAAAACATTTCAGATTATTATATGTGCCTCCTGTACACCAATTTTATAGAAGAGGAAGAGAGGCCCGAAGAAGCTGAGAAAACTGTACCAGTAACACAGCTAGTAAATCGGGAGCCAGGGCTTCAGCCCACATCTGTCTGACTTCTAGTTCCATTTTCTTTGCAATAACCTATTGAGAAGTAGAGGGAGAGGGCAGTGATGACTTGGGTTAACATGACGTCTGTCCAGAGCTTACCTCCAGGGTTTGGATGACAACAGCAGCTGTAAGCCACTACCTTCCAGTTTGCAGCCAGCAATGTAAACCACATCCCACTGGAAAGCAGGGGTGAATTGCAGAGAATAGGAGGCTTCCATCAGGATAACCTGAGTAGGAGAAAATAAATTATAAAGAAAAATGAGGCAATTATGACAGTAAGAAGGGCCCTCTCAGGTCCACCTGCAACAATAGCACATTACTGTTTTCTAGGCTTGAGTTTAGTCTGAACAAATTAGCAAATTCATATATAAATGAACCAAGGAAGATGATTCCTTGGTCAAATTAGTCAACCTAGTATTATGTGTCTTACTCACTAAATGTTAGGTAGTTTTAAAAAAGGGTTACTTATACTAATCTTTCATCTATCATCCCTAAGTCAATTAACAAAGTATGTGACTGCAAAACAAATAATACCTATATTATAGAATAATCTCTAGTACCAAATGTCAGGTTTTATTTATACTTCACATTAGATCATTTTATGTTTTCAGCAATAATAGAGCAGGCCCTTAAATGCCTATTTAGTAATTGCTTGTTTATTAAGCACTTAACTGAAGTGCTTCTCATTAACACATGGGGAATTAAAAGAAGAAAATAATAGTAAAATGAATTGTCAACAAATGGATGTTTTGGCACATGGATACTGTTGTCAAGCCACAGTGATTAGCATCTAATTTTTTTCTTCTTTCAAACACTTGTCACATTTCTTCCGTGTTCCAGTCTCTGAACTAGGTGCTGGGGTTGGTGTAGAGATGTACAAAATGTAGTTCGAATCCTGAGAACACAGAGGAAAGAGCCACTAAACGCCAGTCTTTAGGGAAAAGGTAGTGTTTCAGGGAGGCATTAAATTTCAGTGGGAATTTTCCAGAAGGAGAAGGTGGAAGGGCCCACTCTGAAAGGACAAAGGCCATACTGTACCTTGCTTCCTTCATCTCTGAAGTGCCCAGTAAACATAAGCAGGTCTTACAATGACACTAAATGCTTTATCTTTTAAAGTAGGATGCATTAGGAATTTGTGTTCCCCTTCATTTTTCTGGTAGTTATGATAAAACCTTTTCAGATTTTAATGGAATATAATGCACTTCACACATGTCGGCTCTAAGGCCAACAGATCTTCATGTAAAACCCACATTCCACATCCTCTACTCTCCACCCATGTGACTTCAATGTGCCAGATCTACTTGAAACTGCAGCCTCATTTTGAAAAAAGAAATAGAATAGCCTATGGGATAGAGTAATGGTGAACTTTTAATGACACAATGACAGTAGCTACAAACAGTACTAAATAAATGGTGTGTCTAACCTCATTTTGCCTTTTTTAACGTAACTGTGTTAAAATTGCCAGTGTGACTGGAAAGACCAAGATTTAGTTTGTTATAAAGAAGAAAGTTCTAAATCTTTAGAAATCAAAGTATCGGGTTTTTCTACAACCTTTCAGAAATTCACAAAGAGCAATAGATGCACCAAAAATCGATACGTGTGAACACATTGCTTATGTTCCAAAAACAAAAGAAAAAGAGTGATATTGACAGTGGTTGGATGCTGCTCGATGTTATTTGTCACAGAATCACAGACACACTCAGAATCATGAGAGTATTTTTGAGATTAAGAAATATTTATGAGAATAGATCTCTATGTAAGCTGCAACATGGCAGAAGCAGGCATTTCTCTGGGTCAGGGACACATTAAGGATCTTGGAGCAATGTTCATACAGTAGCTATTTAGGTTACGCATGGGCAAGTATGCTTGGTATATATCATCTTTAGAAGAATATCACCAGTGGAATTTGCTTTGGCGCTATTAAGTTAGCTGGTATTCATTGAGGAAAGAAGAAAAGTAGACACTGAGTTTAGATTAGAGGTTAGAAGTGGAAAATCTGCTAAAAATTATAGGACTGAGACTTCCTTTTTCAGTGAAAATAACTTAAGAAGCTTAATCCCTAACTTAATTCCTTAGGAATATCTAATGTTCCCTCAATTCCAATATACACCCCCCCTAAAAATTTTGTCCTTTAAATGCCCAAAATGTTTTATAATTTAAGTGCTACTGTTATCAATGTGTTCCCAAAAATGGTCTGCATCTGTGTTCCAGACTCCTCTTTAGCCAGGCAGTGAGTCAGTCTAATATGGTACCAACTGGTATTAAAATTTGGTATTAAAAAGTTTCTTATTACTAACAAAGAATTAGCCTTTCACTTTGCCCTGTTGGTCACTGCCTGAATTCCCACCAAGAGCAGCCTTCAGCACTCTGTGCATGGGGGTAACCACCACCTGGAGCAGCAACCTCTGAGCACTGCAGAACACAGGAAAGGAACCGTGTGGGGTAGAAAGCCTGAGATGGCCACTGCTCCCTTCCAGGCTCATCTGGGAGGCCTCACAGCCCCAGGCACACGATGGGCTGTACTAATGTTCCACGTAAAGGAAGCGGGTTAAGGGGGTTGCCCAGGACAGCGGAGTGGGAACGCCAATGTTACAGGTTACCTACTGAATTTCAGCTCTAATGATATTTGTTTTCTGTTACTTAATGGAAATTTTTAGATTGCTTACTTTATGTTTTTTAACCTTTCAGAAAAATTCCATCCATGTGGGCTCCAGGATGGAGTGAGCCCTCTGTATGATTCTTTCAAAATGACCTGGGTGGTACTGGGCACTCTCACATTTCATAATTTTAATATTTCAGTATTGAGCCTATAAGCAGATATGTTCCATAATGGGCCTGCATTTAGCACTTTCATGACCACATGCTCTATTATATTCTCTGCATTCTTTATCTATGCATCTTTCTCCCCTAAAGACTATAAGCCACGGTGATGGTAGAGTATATCCCAAATAGCACCTAACCATATTTAGCATTTAATTGTTATGTTAAATGCTCTCTGAATTACAAAGGATATTAATTCATATTTTAAACTGAAAATTATCTATGTTGAGAGGGCTAAAGATAACTTTATTTACAGATGATTATTTCAAATTCATTGATTTGTGGAAATAAAACAGATTTAAATTAAGACACGGGTTGTAGTCTCTGTTTTGCCTACAAGTATTCAAGCTGTAATTTACAGGAAAAATCCATATAAATCCAGCTTTCTTGAAGATCCCTTAGTAATTCATTATGTAGTATGCACCCACTTACTTTTTCTTTCCATGTGATTTAATCTGCCCCTATGTAAAGTGAGAGTAATAGAAAAAACTGTAATGGTAAATTGCCAGAGTTCTTGTATAAGGATATTGTTTCCTTGATGTTGGATGTAAAATGTAATAACATTAAGTACAGTACTAATTTTTTATTATAGGTATAGGGATTTCCAGTTTCTGCTCAGACATGTAAAGAGTTTGAGAGTCATCACTTCTATCTTTACAAGTCTGTGCAAACTGAAAATCAATGACTTTTCTTGGACCCAGCAGAAAACTGAGGATGCAGGGTAACCTAGCATCCTGATATCTGGAGAAAAAGTCCCTAGCATTTTCTAACCTGAGGCAGAAGCCACTGTATACCATATAAACCAATAGAAAAATTAAAATAAATACTTTGTAGAATTTTCAGAGGCTAAGAGTGGGCTAGCATGAAGGTATGAAGTGTTTAAGGGGTGTACTCCTAGGAGAGATTCCCACCTTCTTGTAAGCTTTCCTTCCAGAAACACGCCTAACTCTCACAAAGAGGAACAAGGAAGAACCTAGAGAAATCCCACCCCTAACTGCCACCCTGCTTCCACTCACATGCTGGGTGCTGGCCAGGGGCTGGGGAAAGAAGCAGCCACTACCAAATCCACTCTATTTCCAACTATCTCCTTCATGAAGAAAAGCCTTAATCTTCAGCAGGAATTATCAAAAATCTTCCCTGAGACACTGGTGGAATCCGTTAAACTGAAAGATGAGAACAGAGACCAACACAAAAATCCTTAACCAGAAGCTTCTTTCCAGTGTCCTCTAAACAACAGAAGTTTCAATCTGCAGGTAAACGGGCTTCAAAACCACTAACCACTGCAACTTGGGAAAAGAAAGGAGGGATGACAACATGAGGAATAATTTTTACCCCAGCAGAAGGGACAGAAACATTTGTGAAGGCCACATGCCCAGGATCCAGGTTTCAATACCTGCCTAAGTCTGAGGCTTAATGTGAACATCAAAGAATCTCTTTTTGTCCACCAACCACCAACAATATAAGTCACAATGAGCAAAAGTCAGTGAAGCACAATTTGGAAGCAGCACATAGGGAGACTCAAAGTTAGGCAGGAGCCAAAAAAGGCACCAGTAGAGCACCTGAAAAGCTCTGGTGCTTACAGCTAACGCAGATTTCAAACACAGCCTATCTTCTGACTAGATTAGCACAGATCTCTACATTTAAGGCCTCACAGAAGGAAACAAGTGCTTTTCTCCAAACATACCAAACTTCCCCTCATATCTCCTGTTCTTTAAATGTCTAGCTTTTACCAAACAATTATGAGGAATATTAAAAGGTAAGAAAACATGCCATTCAAGGTAACAAAGCAATTATCAGAACTAGACCAAGACACAATAGAGATCTATGAATTATCAGACTGGGAATTAAAAAAGAAAAGTATGCTTAATATGTTAATGGATCTAATGGAAAAGCTGGAAAATATGAAAACAAGCAAAGCCACATGGGTAATTTTAGTAGACAGAGAGAAATTATAAGACATAATCAAATATAAATGGTAGATATAACAATAGAAATGACAAATTCTTTTGATGGGTTCATTAGTAGACTGGACATGGCTGAGAAAAGAATTCATGAACTTGAAGTCAATTGAAAATTTTCAAACTACAATGCAAAAGGAAAAAAAAGAATAAAATCAACACCAAAAACATAATAGAACATTTCAACATTGTGGGAAACAATCAAATAATGTAACATACAGATAGTTGCAGTATCTGAAAGGAAAGAGAGAGAGAGAGAAAAAAATATTTGAAGAAATAATGCCTTAGAATGTTCCCAAACCGCCAAAGTAAACCATCAAACTAAACCACAGATTTATGAAGTTCAGAGACCATCAACCAAGATTAATCAGAATTAATACCTACACAACATACACACATCTGACATATCATATTAAACTTCTGAAAACCAAGAGAAATCTTGGAGAAAA